GAGAAGAAGCTATGTAAAGATAAAAGACCGGAGCTGGAACAGCGCGCTATGATCGTATGGCCTTAGAAGATCAGCGACCTGAAGACCCTGGTGGAGGACATTTGGGTGGCCAATGCCGCTATATCCGAAACTACTGCAGAGCTGTTCAAGGTGCTGGAGGTGCTCCAGGGAGAGAAGAGCGAAAAAAATCCCATCTTCAAGCTGTTCACAATGCCGATTTGGTGCTGTTTTATAATCCACAAAGGAAGAGAGGATTATCCTCGAGGCTACAGGCAATCATAAAACAAATCAAAAATGTGGTGTATCGCATAAAAAAAAACCAACCGAAGAGCGAAACTAAACGTGACTAAAGGAGACTTGGGACTTGTTCGGGACGAACAAGATTAGGCGTAGGTAACGAATGAAGATTGAGTAGGATGACTATTGTTGTCTTGCCGGATTATATCAGAAATATGCAGTCTTGACTCGGAGTTGTTTGGAACAACACGTAAAGTTCCCAATCTAATAAAGTCTTTATGTATGGTGAATGTAAGTACTCTCTTTTTTATATTCTCAACCCGGAAAATACGAACCGTATAAAAGTAACAATATGTATCTTTGGAGTTTGTTGTTGCAACAAAAGGTTCCCTTTTTTTGCAAATAGTTGGGAATTGGCTTACAATTTATGAAAGATGAAATAAAAATGAAAAAATGTAATGCTTCGTCGCAACATTATAAACTAATTCTTAATGAAAAAAATCCTGAGTTCTGAATTAAATTGATTTCCATTGCTCGGTGGATAACAGATAACACTGAAGTGGGGCACTACTGCTGTTTCTGCTGCCTGATCCATGGCCATTGACTCACATCACTGCCACCGGCCTTGTCAATGGCCTCTGTTACGCTTAAACTCTGACCCGGTTGGATGCCATACCCGATGCGCAGGCCATGCGGATTGGAAGGAGTTTGGCAATCCATGGTGCACTCCTTCCGGAGCACCGTGTCCACCTCTACCGAGGCGAAGAAGGCCACGGACATGGGCAGATCGTTGAGGCCGATGCGGGACACACAGTAGGAGCGAGTGAGCAGATTAGTGATATGCATGGCCAGGGCCGCCTTGGCAGCCATGTCCTCCTGCACCAGATATCGAAGCTCGTCGTGGAAGCTGAGGCAGAAGCGGACGTGTGGTCCCATCAGCCAGCGCATGCTGACGAGCATCAGGTGGAGAAAGTCGACGGCACCACTCTGCACCACCCAATTGATGCGGGTGGGCAGAAAGCGCTGCTCCTGCTCTGGCCCGCCGTCCGACTCGAGCGCACGACTAAGTCGGCCGCCGAGAAAGGGAGTCTTCGGTTGAGCTCCCGTGGCAATCTCCTCCAGACGATTGAACATGGCACTCTCTGTGCCCCCTTGCCAGTTTGGACGGTGGAAGACCTCGCCCAAGGTCCGATTTCGCTGCAGGGCCAAACGAGAGGCCTCATAGCCGCTGTATCTGGGGGGGAAGGGTTAACTGTTAACAGGAGGATCATCGGTTCGCTGGTATTTCAGTTCTTACGCTCTGTCCTCTAATTCGTCGTGGAACTCCTCGCGGAGACGATACACTCGCTTGCCTTTGGTGATGGCGAACATTTTCATGGCCTTAGCCTTGGCCTCCGATGCACTGAACGTGGGATTGAACTGACGGAGCAGGGTCTCGGCAAACTGCTGACCAGCTCCATAGATCCTCGCATAGTTGATCACCTTGGCGTGGTCACGGGAGATGCCCACGGCCTTGGCGGTGATGGAGTGCATATCGCTGCCATTCGCCTTGCTGCCGCTCAGCGTCATCCAGCCCAGGGGCGTCGCTCCGTGCTGCCCGCAGGCGTAGGCATCGCCCAGCACAGAGGCTATCCAAAGCTCCTGCGAGTCGACATCGGCGCCTACCAACCTGTATCCCGGTGGGGCCTGCACCATTGAACGGAGCTCCGATCCCAGGCGATTCGGACGCGAATTGGAGGCCGTCATCCAGGTGGGCTCCATGGCACGTCGAGTCAGGGTCCCGCAGGCCACCACTTGGGGACAAATGGCGCCGTAGGACTTCCCACCATTGCCACCAACTACCAGCTCTGACGGGAGGTACTCCTTCTCCAGCCAGACCACCATTTGACCCATGATGCGATCTCGGTTGTTGCGCCAGTAGGACATCATGCGGGCAATGTCGATGACTCGCGCAGCAGCCTGGCACGAGGGATCGCCACTGGTGAGCACATTCTCCGAGAATTTGTTGAGGAAGTCCTTCGACAGCGGATTTCCCACCCTAAACGACGGGCCGTTCTTGTGCGGCAGCTTCAGAAAGAAGCAGCAATCGTCCAGCACCTGATTGCACCACACGCCAGAACCTGGAAGTCGTACAGAAATACATTTCAATAAGGACATTCATATGCTTAGTTAGGTTCAGACGCACCTTGGTACTGGGTCTCTAGGCGCTGCTGTTTCTGAGAGAGCTTCTTGTAGTGCTGCCTCTTTGCCAGATGTTCCTCTAGCTGTCCCGGCAGCATGGCGAATGCCAGATCGCTCTCCGCCGCGGAGGCGCACTGCCGCGCAAAATCTGGTACGGCACAGCGTTCTAGCAGCTCTTTAATTGGGATTCGATCCACTCCCGCTGCATCGCTGCGAAAGGGAACCAGGAAGCCCCAGCCGTGTTCCCGCTGGTAGTGAAGGGGATATCCCTCCCAGCAGAGGGAAAGCAGCTTAGGGGCAATCTGCATACCTGTGCTGATCTCGCTGGCGCCTGGACTCCACTGTTCATCCTCCTGCTCGCCGTCGTCAGTCTTGTGGCCAGTGGGAGGCTTACGGCACAGTTTGCGGTACCATTGGGGATAGCCTGGAAGCAGGGGACGTCGAGCCGGGAGCAAGGACCGCTGATCGTATAGGTGCTGGAACTTGGCATAGAGGCGCCGCTGCTCAGTGGATAGGTCGGACTCTTCACGCTCCGCACTCGGCAACGGCTTGCGCTTGGGAGGCTGCTTCAGCTTCAGCTGCTGCACTCCCCAGTCCTCGTCCCAGAGCCAGAGATTGCTGCGATACTGCTCATCGTAGAGCAGGGAGCACGCCTCTTCGGCCCGACGTCCCAAGTGGTACTTCGCCTCGATGCTGAGATCCTCGTAGGTCAGCTGGGCCTCGCGTATGTATCTCTCCCAATTCGAATTGACCGGCAGATAGGCAGAGCCCATTTCTAGCATGCCCGCCAAGGAGGCAGGATGCGGAAAGCGGTCGGCATACATGGGATAGAGCACCCGCAGCACGCGGTGAGTGGCCTCCACATCTCCGGCGCAGTAGTTGACTAGTAACTGGAAATTGTGCCGCACCTGATCGAGTGTGCCTTCTACAAAAATATTCCGTGGCTCCTTGGACAGCGCCTCCCCACCGCAGTACAGACGATGGACCTCGAGGAGACTGTTCAGGGAGCTCTGCTCCAGCCAGCCAAGGTCCTCGGGAGCCGGCTCCTTTTTTGATTTGAGCATTGCCCGCTGGTAGCTGGTCACCCCACTGACGCACATGTGCAGCGAAATGGTGTCCACAAAGCGGGTGCCAGAGTCCTCGATCAGATACTGCTCTCTCAGTCTCGCTCTGTCGTAGGAAACGTTGTGGCCCACCACCAGACCGGGTCCCCCAGTTCCCAGGGGTATGAGCTCATCCAGAGTGTAGTGCGGTCGCTCAAAGTCCGCGCCCACATCACAGGGTTCCACTTTTGGCACAGCCAAACGATGTTTGGTCAGCTTCGGACTGACCCAGCAGTACCATCTTTTCGTGCTGACTGCGGTGGCCAGAATCGGCGATTGACCGGCAGAGACGCACACCTCCACATCGAAGACGAGGCCCTTTTCCAGGGGCTGCTTGACGGGTGTGGCTGTGCCATCGTCAGGGTCGTAGGCTGTCCAGCCGGCAAGAAACGCCCAGCGTTTCGGTCTCGAAGGCAGCTTATGGCAGTCCACCAGGGGCAGCAATAGCTCTTCATAAGGTTCCACCTGTTGCTTGGCTATGCTGTGGAAGTGCTCTTCAATATTCTGCCCCTGCAACGCGGGCAACTTCAGCTGCACATCCGGTATTGGCGAACTGCTCTCGATGTCGACTCCATGGCGGTGCAGCTCCACTTTGTACTGCCTGGCGGCGGCTCTCTGCTCCTCCGATGTGTGGCGGGATGTTTGCGGGAATATTTGCCTGTGCAAGTTCTGCGAGATCATCTGAACCTTGACGAGGTTCTCCGAGTACTCGGGTGCTGTTTCCTCTTCCACATTTGCATTTTGTGGATGCTGTTTTGCTTTGGCTGCTTTTTGTGGCAGGGGTTTTACCTTACGATATATCTTGACGGTGCTACTGGCATAATGTTCCCGTCTGGGTTTGCTGGCATAGGAACGTATCAGGCGGAGTTGCATTATAAACAAATCGTTTACGTACTGCCAACAAATATACAGAGAAATTTTATTTTACCAAAAGTCGTACATACACACACACACACGCATAGGCATGCCGAGAGGGAAGAGCGAGCCAGAGAGAGAGAGAGGGAGAGAGAGAGAGAGAGAAGTGGCGGTATGTCAACACTTTTGCCAAAGTGCCGTAGAGTGGAGATGGTCACACTATTGGCTTGAAATCCCGCGCCTAACGCTTTTGTTGCCAAGTGAAAGATTCCCTTCGACAAGGGCTCCATCTTCGGTGGCAAAATCAGCCTCAGTGAGGATGGGGCTATCGACGAGCCCGCCTTGTCGTTGTCGTGCATTGGGCAGGTCCTGAATCCTTTGCAGCAGCAGGTGAGGGAGAGCGTCGACCGTCAGCAGTCCCTGGTGACAGACATTCAGAGCGCCCATGGAGCTTTCGTCTCGGAGACGGGAAGCTGTGGCAGCTCGCGCGACACCCTACGATAGCTACATTGAGCTGTCGGGCAATCTCCAGGAGGGGACTAAATTCTACAACGACCTCACCCAGCTCCTGGTCGTATTCCAGAACAAGATCAGCGACTTTGTGTTTGCCCGCAAAACGGAAAAGGAGGAGCTCATGAAGGACCTAACTACAGCGTCGAGCCGACAAGCTTGCCCGGCTACGCCCTCTCTGCCCTCGCACTATGCCTCCACCTCGGGTAGTGGCAGCGGTAGGTACAGTCATTCCCTAACAAAGTTTGATAATACATCATTTTGTTTTTTCGCCCCCATCCGACAGACATTCCATCCAATCCAGCTGGCTCTGCTCCCAGCGTACCGGCTGCGGCAGCTGCTGCCAATATGCCGTATCCTAACCAGGTACATGGCATGCCAGCCCAGCCAGGAGTTCCATATCCAGCGTATGTTCCGCCACCGATGCCCCAGAGCTTCAATCCATACGCCACGCTCCCATATCCTGGCAGTAAGTACTGATAATCGATGGAATTTGCATCCCCACTTATGCGAATGCTTTTCATTTGCAGATTGTCAGTATAGCCCCCCGCTATCCACAAGGACCACCACCTGGGCACTATGGCACCTATCCTGGCAGTTATGCTCCCCAACAGCAAGGCGGCTATCCCAACCAGAAGCCACCAGGATGGTAAACCGCATCCCACCCGTATTTATACCCACACTGTGGTTTAACCAAGGCCTCTTCGTTGAGTTCCGGATCGTAGAGAAGCGGCGATTGGTGGTCATGGCATTTAATGCTCTGTGTTTTGTTTCTGTTCCGGCTTTCGTTCGTTTGCTTACAATTGTATCATACATGTTGATGGCTTCTTGGATTTTAATCTCATATATGCAACAAAAATATCACGTATATAGTCTCCGAAAGAACTCTCGTTTCATGCCCGCAATGGTGCGTGGGGCACACATACTGCTGATGAGCAGTTCCAATGTGGAGCTGATCGGCAAACTCTCAGTAGCAGTTCTCGTCTTTGTTTGCAGCCGTTTCGAGTTGGACTCCAGCAAGAGCTTGTATTCCTCCTTGGGCATCACCTCCAGGTGCCGAACGGTGAGACGCACTCTAGCAAGGAGCTCCCTAAATTTGGATTGAGTCAAGTAATCGGTTTCCCACAGCTTCCGTTTGTGCTCCTCGCTCTCGGCATTCTGTACGGCCTGCTGGAACTGGGCAAACAGTTCGCTGGGCGTCGAGGATATGTCCTCCAGTTGATTGGGATTCAGTAGATACTGCTTCGTCTGTTCACTTTCGCCCTTGACAAAGCTCTCGACAATGTGGTTGACCAGAAACTCGTCCAGGGCCAGGTCCATGTCGTCCTTGAGAGGCACCCAGTAGTTGAGACTGAGCGATGTCTCCGTCGCCTCCACATAGTGCCACCAGTGACGGGGCACGATGATCGCTATACTCCAGCAAGCGCGGCAGCTTATCCCGCGCAGGGGCATAGAAGTTGTCCAGACAGTATACGCTAGACTCCCCGCAGCCAAAAGAGATATGTAGACCTTGCAATGAGTACCTGCCACTAACTAAGGGGCACTGCACAGGCAAAAAAGCAGCCAAAATACGCATTGCCATTGCTGGGGGACCATATCCCCTCACATTGAACTATGAAAATCAGGACACTACGGCGATATTCATATATATTTTAGGAATTTTGTAAGTTGAAAATAAAAAGTCTTATGTTGATAGAAATATTAATGAAATTAAACGAGGATTCTTCAGAAAAATCCATTTTTTTGGTTCTACTCCATATTGTCTGTCACGTCGTCAAATTCAACCGGCAGTGTCTGGGACCATGAGGCCACCGATGTCTTCGGCGAAAATGGTTCATTGGTCGTTGGGGTCCAGATGAGCTTACGTCGTACATTAGCATGGTGCTTTTCTAGCCGCTTCCTGTTGTTGTACCTGACATACATTCGGCTCCGATCGCTCACTTTGTAGTTGCTTTCCTGATCCCCGGGAAAAAGACTCAAGAGTTCTCTATCCAAATTCCGGCTTTTGCTTATCGACAGTGGAATTTTTTTCATAACGAAATAGTCGGCGATGGTATTTATGGCAATTCTTCTTAGATTCGGAGTCAGGGGCTCCGGTCGGCCCACGCGCTTCAGCACCGCCGTCGCCCCAACTTCCCTTAAAATGACGGCAGCCGTGTTGGTCGCAAAGGGCTGATTCACTTCAGACACTGCACTGTAGTGGTTGGAGGAAGGTGCCGCCATTATAGCCCCAAATACGCTGCTGGGCGCAAACGAGGGGGTATGCGCCTGGATTGGCCGGCACCCCATGGGCATCTTTGGCTTCCCAGTGTTTACAGTCGGTGGAAAGGCGCAAAAGCTGATAAGCGACGAAGTCGGAGCCGGTGCATCCTCACTAGGGGCATCCTCCCAAGGTGCATCCTCCCAAGGTGCATCCTTATTAGGGGCATCCTCCCAAGGTGCATCCTCATTAGGGGCATCCTCCCAAGGTACATCCTCACTGAAGGCATATCCATGGGGGCATCCTCCACGACACTGCCTGCATTTGACGGCGTCTTCTGCTCCACTTTTGTCCCATTCACCATTGCGGCGTTCCCAGCTTGCTGCGCAGCCGACGAGGGCGACGAGGACGCCTTTGTCGGCGTCTTCAGCTCCACTTTTGTCCCATTCACTATTGCAGTGGCGATCCCAGGTTGCTGCGCCGACGAGGACGCCTTTGTCGGCGTCTTTAGCTCCACTTTTAATGTAATTTCAATTTCCAATCTGATAGATTCATTTAAATAGATTTTATTCGAATTTTTACCGCCGAAATCGGCCAAACAACTCACCCGTCCATGGTCCCGCTTAGATTTGCTGTATCCGCGGCGTCGTTTTTCACCATTATGTTTCCTCTTCATCTACGAGCTCGGAAGCAGCACAAAAAGGATTGCAAATTTTCCGTTGCAAATTCTGATCTGACTGCTGCACAGTGGATGAAGCGGCCCATTTGGTTGCCAAATTACAGCAAACATAAGGAAAAACTAGAGATTGACCGTGCTGTCCACTGTGCGCTGTCGCGGTAAGCCATTTTTTACCATTCTTCATCTTCATCTTCGAGCGCTCGGAAGCAGCACAAAAAGGATGGCAAAATTTCCTTTCGTTGCTATGAGAGCGAAAGAGAAGCAAGAGTTCTGATCTACTGCCGCACAGTGGGTCAAGCTTAAACAATTTTCAAATTGCGTTTATACATATATATTTTATATATTACATATATGATATTATATATATTGTTGGAAACAAAACAAAAGACCCATGGAAAGAACGGGACAGGATTGACCGTTTTCGGCCCACTGTGAGCCGCCTCGGGATTTGACCAGACGAACACCTACACTTTGACTGTCGCCATTTCCAACTAGACTGCGACCGCGTTCACTTCAGTCGGGTGTAAAATGAACTTGGAAGAGGTTTTCATACGCCACCCGCTGTTGGCTGCCCGTGGACGCGATGTGCGGCGAGCCATCAGATACGTGGAGCGGCAGTCCCACTTGATAGAGCTGAACTGTGGGCTTATCAACATGGTGTCAAACTTGCAATTTTTCGGGGAGCAGCCTTTTGTCCTCATTTTCAATGAGTTTCATTTCAGGCACGTACCCAACGTAAGTTCCCTTTTAACCGTCTCTTTATATCATATTAAGTAGTATATTTACAGGTGCTCCTCAGCCGCTGGAAATCTTTGGCCATTGCAGCTGCAAATATGGACGGCACAAAATTCAAGTTTCTGTACCTGCAGGTGGTCCCTATAGACGTGCACGTTTTGGGCAGCAATGAGATATATGAAGGACTAAAAGTCGTAGTCACTTCAATTCTCAACCTGGGCTTGGCCCAAAATGTGTGCGGCGTAATATCGGACAGGTGCAGGGCCAATTTGAAGTCGCTGCAGTATGTCGCAAACTATTTCCCGGTCCTGTGGGACGAGGTCCATATGAAGAAGAAATTGGTCACGCGGTATAAAGATACGGTGGATAGATTAGGAAAAATCTACGGAAGCACCTTTGACCGAAACACATGGAAACAGAAGTTTTCAGAAATAACCAGCAGCACGCCAAATGAACTAAAGGAGTTTAATTCAAACGAAGTTTTAAACTTAAAAAAGCTATTGGCGCTGAACTTCGCGAAATCGTCAACACCTCTTAACTTGAGCAGAGTCAATAGCTCCGATCTCGATCTGCGTGGATTCATCCTCACCTCCCATGTGTACGATATTCTTAAATTTATCCACGTTACAGATGCGGATAAATTCACCGACACACGGGCTGCAATAAAATATTTTTCCCGCGTGGTAGGAATTGTAACCTTTATATATAATTAGATAGAGTAAAATATACGTACATATATACATATATATATAAATCAGGTGATTTTAAATACTAATGATGGGCGGACTATCCGAATCTTAAGGCTAATGTCCCTGTCCAGGACAGTCCCTTCTTAGGAGTTCTTCTGTGACCTCCGTGTAGTTGGAGAGTGCATACTCCCCGTTCTCGTCCGAAGGAAGCCTGGCCAGCCAGGGCATTGTAGTGCCGGCACGCAGGCAACCGACAATTTAGTTGGCATAGTCCAGATCCTTGGTGAAGAGAGCGGCGGCAAGGTCGTACTCCGAGTTGTTGGCACGTTCGATGACCCCGTCGAGCTTCTTGAATCGAATCAGCTGCTGGACGGGCCCGAATATCTTCTCGCGGGCAATGGGCATGTTGTCTCGGACATCGGCGAACACCGTTGGCTGGACAAAGTAGCCGGGAAGGCATTCGAGACGGCTACCGCCGGCCACCAGATTGGCGCCCTGCTGGATCATGCCAAGGATCTTATCCATCTGCTCCTGGTTGATCTGGGGATCCTGCTTGGTGTTCAGATCTAAGGGATTGCCCACGGTCCTCTTCTTGGCACGCTCTGCACTGCGCTCCACGAACTCGTCGTAGATCTTATCCTCCACAAAGGTGCGAGAGCCGGCACAGCAGCACTGGCCCATGTTGAAGAAGAGGCCGAATTGGGCCGTCTCTACGAATAGAGTCAGAAAGGATAATGTTGGGGGACTTTCCGCCCAACTCCAGGGTCACGCGCTTCAGGTTCGTGTGGCCGGATGCCAGTTGGATGAGCCACATTGACTGCTCAGCTGGCTTTAGGAAGATGGTGTTGCCGGTAGCCGCTAGGCAGATTTGGAGAATAAAAACACATTTTATTCATTTTTCAATAGAGGGGAAACACTTTAAAACACATATACAGACTTTTGGAACTATTGTGGAAGTACGAGAAAAGAACAATCTCTTCAGTTAATTTATATAAAACGGCTTTCACACGGTACAAACGATAAGAAAAGCGATTTTGGAAAACATTTTGGCAAATACTGCGCACCTGGCCAGGCCAACACTCTAACATACATATTAACATATTACACACTAGATCTGCAGGTTGCGCATGCCGCCGTTGATGCCGCCCTGCTCCACAGTCCAGATGACCAGCTGGCCATCCACGCCCGAGGTGGACACCTTGCTTGCGCTGGATTTGTCCCCAGCATAGATGCGCACACTGGTGATGGCGTTCTGGTGGATGGAGTCCACCACAGTGTCCGTGTTCTCCGTGCGCATGTTGCGGTCCATCGACTGGAAGATGCGCATGGCAGTAATTCCGCTGGACTCCCGCTTCTGCGACTTGTCCAGCTTGCCGCTCAGCACCAGTTTGTTGTCCGCCGTGAGGCTATACAGGAGCGGCACACAGCTATAGCCAGCCACAACGACGGAGTTGGGCGAGACCCATTCGCAGGACAGGAAGGGGAGGTAGCCGGTGCGGAGGCGTATGACGGTGTTGCCATTGGTGGCATCTGCAATGCTCACGCAGCTGTCGTGTCCTACCCAGCAGACCTTGTTGCCGTCGCTGGAGAAGCTCACATTGTTGATCCAGCCTCCGCCGGAGGTGAGAGAGTTCTTAAACTCGGCCATCAGTTGGCCCAGGGGCTTTCGGTTACCCCAGGGCGTGGGTGTGGGCGCTTCCTCGACATCCTTAATGAAGGCCGAAAATACGCGCACCTTGTAGTCCGTGGATCCAGCCACCAGCAGAACGTTGTTCGGATGCCAGTCGAGGGACGTCACGGTGGAACGAATCGGCTTTTTGATGTGCTTGGACACCCACCAGTCGTTCTCCGACTCGAAGTAGCAGACCGAGATTAGGCGAGCCCCAGAGCCAACGGCGAACTTGTTCTCCGCCGGCGACCACTTGACGCATGTGGCGGCGCGATTGATTCGAAGCAGCACCAACGTAGGCTTCCACTTGCCGTCCTCGCCCTGGGTCCACACATAGGCATTCCGGTCGGCTGCGCAGCTCACGATGCGATTGGTGTTTTTGGCCCAATCAATGCCCATGACCCGCAAATCGTGCTGATTCAGTACGTCGGCCAACTTCCAGTCGTTGCCATCGCGGCTGTATATATGGATCTCATGGTTGTTGGGCGATAAGGCAATCTCTGTGGGGAAGCAATGAGTCATGAATGAGTAAGCTCCAAATGCCCGACCGTCGGTCGGCAGCAAACTTACGCGTCCGGTCCTTGTTCCAGGCGTGGCATGTTATTGAGGCCAGGGAGGTGCCAAAGGTGAATGTCTCGGCCATTGTTGAGGAATAAATGCACGCAACGCAAGATCCAACCACACACGTAGTTTTGATTCGCCGGAGTTTGATGACCGAGTTAGGGAACGGAACGGAACCGAGTGGGCGTTGTTTCTGCTTGGGCGCTTCTCTCTAGTTTTAATCGCGGACTCTGGGCCGTCTACACGATTAATCTAGCCTTGGAAAGAAGGAGAACTGCAAATTTCCTGCCGAAATAAACACAAACGTATTGAAAAACCTTTCCAAAATGTAAAGTGCAGAAATCACCCGAATAGAGCTGCAAAAATATCGACACACTCTGCCCTCGATGTCTCAAACAGGGCTGCCGATCTAGCTATTTCTGACGGCTTTTTTTTGGAGGCCATCTCGGGAAAATTTTGTGAATTGCGGGAATCGGGCATCACTGGTCTCAAACAGTGCTGGAAAATACTCGCACTTTTGCGCGCTTTATCACCGGCAGCTGTTTGTAAGCAAATCGCAAATGGAAAATATCTGCGCTGCGTTGGAGCCGCTGTTTCCCTGCCGGGAGGGAGCAATAAAAACACTGGGCGAGCTGATTGGCGACTCCCGGGAAGACTATCCTTCCGCCCTCTATCTGTTCGGGCACAGTGGGACGGGGAAAACAGCCCTGACCAGAACATTCCTCCGAGAGTGCAGCAGGCAGCAAGGAGTTCGCATTGCCCAACTAAATGCCATCGAGTGCTATACCACAAAAATAATGCTGGAGAATATGCTGGACACACTAGCTCCGCGTCAGTGCACAGAGGAATCCGTTCGCGCCGACAACATGCTGGAGTTTGTGGAGCAACTGCGTCGTTGGCATGACCAGGGAGGGAGATCCCAGAGCTTCTTGATAGCCGTGGACAATGCTGAGCGCTTGCGAGACATGGATGCAAACGTTCTACCCGTTCTGCTGCGACTGCAGCAGCTGACCAGCCTCAATCTCTGTGTGATTCTCCTGTCCCAGATTCCCTTCGAAAAGTTTTATAACAAAACGGGTCTGACTGAAGTTATCAGCATCCATTTGGCCCAGTACAACAAGGCAGAGACCCAGCGTATTCTCGGCTCGGACTTTTTCCAGGTGCGAGGGCACCTCCTTGAGCAATTTTCAAAGGATGCCCAGCGCCTCGCGATCTGCGAAGCGGCCCTCACCGAGGACTTCTACAGCAACTACCTAAATCTCTTCCTCAGCGTCTTCTACAAGGCTTGCCGAGACGTGCCCGAGCTGCAGTTGACGGCCAGGAAATGTTTCTCCATTTACTTAGAGCCTGTGTTAGATGGCACGGTGGAGTCTACAGATGTCTCCCGGCTGTGGAGACACATTGCCGGACCCTTGAGATCCGCGCTCACCCAGATATACATGCGAACAGAAAAGCCTCCGGAAGAGCAGGAAGGATCGGCACCCATCGAGGATCAGAGCGTTCGCAAGCTGGCGCAGTCGCTCGAGTTGCCCTACTACGCCAAATATCTGCTTATTGCCGCATTCCTGGCCAGCCACAATTCCGCCAACCAGGACAAGCGACTGTTCGTCAAGCATCATGGAAAGCAGCGCAAGAGAATGCAGACGGTGAATGCCAGAGCCAAGGTTCGTTCATCCACACCCATCTATGCCCTTCTCAGTGTTTTCTTAACGGTCCAATAACCTTTTTTCCAGACTACGGAGAAGATGTCCACGACCCTGGGACCCAAATCCTTTACCATAGATCGCTTGTTGGCCATCTTCTACGCCATTCTTGAGGAAAAAGTGGGCCTCACCTGCAACCTGCTGTCCCAGATCTCCACATTGGTCCACCTCAAGCTACTCAGCTTTGTCTCCGGCGAACAGAACATCATGGACGGCTCGGCCCGGCTCCAGTGCACGGTGGGCCTCGAGTTTGTGCTATACATCGGCAAGGTGGTCGGCTTCAACGTGCGCCAATATCTTTGCGATTTCATGTAGGGGGTTCAATTCTCAGTGTTTAAATATATTCAATAAATAGTCGGGTACATCGCTTATGTGTATGGTCTCCGCCAGCCTGGTGTCCCGGCTGCGCAGTTGCAGCAGTCCGTTTTGCAGAGTTTGCTCGCTCAAGAGGAGCGTATAAGGTACACCCAGCATATCTGATTTGTCTACATGTTCCGTCAATTGGGAAGCATCCTTACTTAGGGCATATCCCACTCCCTGGCACAGGCGCAGCCCTGCCCTCTGGAGGACGTCTTTTATGTGAAGGCAAAGGTCGCGCAAGTCTCCCGCCTGGGCTGGATCGACCTCCAGGCAGGCGATTCCACACTGATAGGGTGCCAGCATCCTGTTCAGCAGTAGGGATTGCGTCTCGCGCCCATGGTCACAGCCATCCAGAAGAAGAGCTGTCCGAGCGGAAGATTAACGATCCATTTAAAGAAATTTTATGGAGAATTCCAAGTGCTTACCGCAGGTGGCTGTTTCCAGTTCAATTACGGATCGTATGACAGCCGGCGGCAGGGACTGGTCCGTTCTCGCATCGGGCAGTCGGAAATCATCGCCGTGGAGCATCACCAGGCTCAGTTGCTCCACTGCCACTCTACCCTCTTTGCCGTAGCTGGATATGATGTCGATTCCTTGGCAGTCTTTGGCATCCGCCTCCTCCGGCAGTTCGTGGGGAACGATTCGGTACCGACTGGGGTTCGAGGAGTACCTCATCCACCAAATCTTGCTCTCGCGCTGCATATTATAGAAGTGCTCCAGGGCGCGATAGGGCTCCACCAAAAAGTCGGTAATCAAATGCGTAACAGGAGCCTTGTGCCTAAGGAAAGGATTGGGTTGGCAGGAGTAGGAGGTGCACAGATGCTTCAGGAGTGTGGGACATTTTGCCTTTCGGGGATGCTCTTGAACCAGCTGCTGGAAGTGGGAACGGAATAGTTCGGTGCGGGAAAATGAAAAACGCTGGAGGTGCGTCGAGGAAACGGCTTCAGTGGAATGGCTGGTGCCCAGATGAGCAGCCAGGGGCCGCAGACTTAGCCACTGTTGTTTCAGCAGATCGGCATAGGCGTGCCCGTGCGAAAGGAGTTCGACGTGGCTGTCGTCTAGGACGCGGAAGAAGCCAGCGGATTCCAAAGACCTGAAGCAGCGACTCAGACGACTCATTGTTCCAGCGGAATATTGCCAGGCGGCGAGACGTAGTAATCTTCGTCCGTCACCTTGGCGTTTCTCAGCAGCTCCACGCGACAGTCACCCTCCTTCACCTCGTCGTTGCGTAACTGGAGCTGCTGGTTCTCGAGCACGGTGTAAAGCGGCCGAACGTTCTCCGTATTGATGTGGGCTATCTTGTCCGCAAACTGGATGCTACTGTTGAGCGTGGCCAATGCCTGTTCGCTATCCAGATTCACCAGGGAGAGGCGCTCCAGTAATTGAATGGTTTTTGCATCAATCTCCACTCTGTTGGCGGTTGTCTCTGGAAATACTGTGTCCACCGGCGTTTGTGGCACCTTCGTAGCGTACCGTAGCTCCTTGAAGTCCAATTTGGCAGTCTTAAAATTCGTTTTGGCTGCAATTTTGCAATAGAAACGTCTACTTAAAACACGCAACATTTCGGAAAAACATCAATGGATGCCGGAATCAGTGTGACCGCGGATTTATCGTTAAAATATACCGTCCGACCCTCAGAAATATACCGTCTCATCTTAAAAATATACCGTACAAAATACTAATAAAAAAAAGAACTTAGCCCTCTTAAGCCCCTCTCTTTAAAAAACCTCCTTGGTTTACAATGGGTTAATCGTCATCCGTCAAGGATTGGAAACCATATTCCTCGATTTTGATATTCCGTCGAATATTACTAGCTAGACAGAACATTTAGCCATGCCCACTCAATTTTATCCAATAAATGATCCTATTTCCTAATTGACTGGTTTAATTTAAACACTTGCTTTTATTGGATCTTGTCTAAAAAAACGTTTTAGCGAAATACGTCAAACCGTTGAATAATTCTGGCTAACTAAAACCCTTAGTTCTGCCCACATAATTTTAGGCCATTGATGAATAAATGTTCTACAAGATTGGCTAGTTTTTAGTCCTTGCTTTTATTGTGCTAAGTGGTAACCTGGCACACTCGTCCCAGAGTCTTTTCGCTCCATTTTCACCTCCAGCTTGGTCGCTTTGCACCTCAAATGCAATATCCGGCAGGATCTCTATTGCATTTTTAAAGTCTTTAAAAGGGAATATTTGACGGAAGGTGGAGTAGGATTTTGTTAGTTTAAGAATTTGGGCAGATATCGTGTCTTTCTCACCTTGTTGATGGGACACTGAAAGTCTTCTGGCCGCTTGCAACAGTCGGCCATCTTGTCGCTGTCATCGGCTGAACAGACCTGCCGGGCAGTCCTTTCATCACAGCGCCAGGAGGCGGATATACAGTTTTTGTTCATGTCACTACTCCCGCCACTTAAAATTTTCTGGGGGCACGAACAGACGTCGTGAGTACTGCGTATCACACCCCGCTGGCTATGCAGATGTGGAAACAATTTGGGCGACTGCGCAGCATTTTCGCATCTGGTGTCCACACGGCCCGGATGTCGGTTAACTGAAACAGACGCTGCAGCTCTACGGAACGACGCTCTCCGTTGACAGTGATCCTCTCCAGTCCGGTCTTGTCACAACACAACAGCCAGTACACAAATCCATCCTAGGCGGCAATGTTGTTCACCTGCGGGATATGCATGGTAGCAAAAGTTTTTCTGTAGAGAGGAAGCAGGAGATTACACATGTGTCCAGAGGGCTGGGTCCCCATATTGGTTGCTTACTTGTTCTTTCCATTGATGTCTATAGCTTCGATACGCATGGTATATCGGACTGTTGGTCCAGGGCCAACGCCGTGACTCCATCCAGCTCCACACGCTCATTGCCATCGCTTCGGGCTCGAATGATGGCCCGATGGTTGCCGACATCTGTCGAAAAGTGCCTCGCCTTCTGCGAGTTCGCCCAAGAAGCTAAAAGAGGAAACGTGTTAGAACACAGCTGAATAGGAGAGAGAGCTTCACCTAGGCACGGATATTCTTGCTGGACACCTGCAGCGGCACATTCGGGCAGTCTGTCGTAGCTGGGGTGATGCAGGGCACGTCCTTGGCGAGGCTGCGGCTCTGGCCCGTCTTGATCAATGTCCCCGGTGCTCCAGAATATAAACTCCGCATCGGACCAGTAGATGTTGCTGCCCAGCCAGTAAACAGCGATGCCGTCCGGCCCAATCAGTCCCGAGTCCACGATCCGCTGCACATAGGAGAAGATGCACTTGGTCTTCTGGTCAGTTCAGAAGATGCACAGCTCCACCACCGACACGTTTAGGGCGATGCGCACGCCCACATCCTTGAAGGGTATCCGCTCGTCGTCGTGATTCCGTTGCACTCGCTGTACTCGGTCGAGATGCGGCCCAATGTGCTCCTGGCGCGATAACAAAAGGAAGGCGGCAGGCACCACGCAGGTGGCACGCGGGGCCTGTTCAGGCAGGGGTGAAGCAGGCCCCATTCCCCACGGCAGAATCCAGATGACGAACAGCTGTTCCACCCCCAGTCAAGGGTCTGTTGAAATGAATTTCGTCTTCTGGGGGCTGAGGCAGGGCGGAGCAGTGGGCCACAGTTGCGCCAAAGGGCGCCGCTAGTCTTCAAAACGGCCGTCCACGGGAATATCTGTCCCACAAATCCAATTGAGATGGCAGGGCTTCGATAAGTCGCGACAGCTGATCGCTAGTGGTGGTTATTGATTATTTTAAAATATACCGAAATATACCGAAAAATACCAAAAACCGAAAAATACTTCAACCTTTTTTTCTGATCTGTGCCGCATTTACCATCACTACTCTACTTCGCCGCTCGTTTACTTCTGCGGCATTTTTCATTTTTTTTAACAAAAACAAAACAGAAACTAGCAATAATGCCCTACGCCAATCAACCCAACGTGCAGATAACCGAACTAACGGACGACAATGTGAAATTCGTGCTGGAGGACACCGAGCTGAGCGTGGCCAACAGCCTGCGGCGCGTTTTCATTGCCGAGACTCCAACGCTGGCCATCGACTGGGTGCAACTAGAGGCCAACTCCACAGTGCTATCGGACGAGTTTCTGGCCCATCGCATTGGCCTGATTCCGTTGATATCCGACGATGTGGTCGAGCGGCTCCAGTACACGCGGGATTGCATCTGCCTGGACTTCTGCCCCGAATGCAGCGTGGAGTTCACCCTCGACGTAAAGTGCAGCGAGGAGCAGACGCGCCACGTTACCACCGCTGATCTGAAGACCAGCAATCCAAAAGTACTGCCGGTGACCTCCCGCAACCAGGGAGAGGAGGACAACGAATACGGCGAAAGCAGTGACGAGATCCTAATTATAAAACTGCGCAAGGGACAGGAACTGAAGTTGCGGGCCTATGCCAAGAAGGGCTTTGGAAAGGAGCACGCCAAGTGGAATCCCACTGCTGGCGTGTGCTTCGAATACGATCCAGACAACTGCATGCGGCACACCCTCTACCCCAAGCCGGACGAGTGGCCCAAGAGCGAGCACACCGAACTAGAGGACGATCAGTTCGAGGCCCCTTACAACTGGGAGGCCAAACCGAACAAGTTCTTCTTCAACGTCGAGTCCTCGGGGGCCCTTAAGCCGGAGAACATCGTCATTATGGGCGTTCAGGTGCTGAAGAACAAGCTCTCCAATCTGCAGACGCAGCTCAGCCACGAGTCGCAAAACGATGCCTTGGCTGTTTGAAATGTATACAAACAACAAATACATATATTCTTAGTTTATAAACCATTTCGACTAATCCTTGAACAAGCTGTCTATGTTTATTCCCACGCCGCTGTCCTTTTTCCGTTCCTTGGGCGGGCTTGAGGACTTGGCTTGCTGCCCGCCAGCCTCCATGAAGTCGCTCATTAGCTGGCTTTTCGTCTCCACGTTAAGCTCGATGCCTGCCACAGCAGGCTCCTCCGAGGAGGCGTCCAGCCGGGACTGCTGCCGCTGCTCCGCCAACAAGTCCAATGCCGTCTCGTATATTCTCTGCTCATCGAGGGCTCCCTGCGACTTTAGGTTTTCGTAGATCTTCATAAACTGCTGCGACTGCGTGCTCCGTTTGTTGTCGAACAGGGATATCGTTTCATTGGGTCTGTTCTGCTTGTGGAGCTTCCTGTGCACGGACAAATCGACAAATTATTTCTGGTCTGGGCAATAGCCAACAATGCGGAACATACGCTCTGACTACATCTTCGGCATAGAATATGTTGCGTACCGGCACCTCGGGAGCAGGCCTGTCGTATCGGGGCTCTGCCTTGGGTGGATAGGCGGCGTAGACGTCATACCAGATGGGTTTATCCTCCGTTTTCATTGCGCCCCCACGGAGCAGACCCTGAACTCTTTAAAGCACAAAAAAAACAAGTGTTATCAGTGTGGTCGGGGCATTGCGGGCCGCCGCTTACCTAGTAAAGATGGTCCCGATTTTCTCAAGCCTGCTTTGCGCCATAATAACGTGTAGTAGTTTGTTTTAATTGATTAATATTAAATATTACGACACGCAGATTCTGGCACGCAGGTATCGATACTCAGCCGGCTGGTATCGAATTGGCAGCGAAACAAGTAGTGAGCCCATTTTCCGTCACTCCGGTACGGTCACACTTGCCGCAGATTCCAGCAGAGAAAAACGCTGCTGCGCTGCTCCGTCGTGAACTACCGTAATTTTCGCTCTGTTTTGATTGTTTGTGCAGGTGTAAAAATCGATCTATTGAATTGAGTTGACTCCGCGGGGAATTGTCCTACAGATATTCGTCTGACCACCATCCCAATTGACTGTGCGTGCTGTGGAGCCACCCCATATCGTCGTCGTGCCGTCGTTTGATTGTGTTTTTGGAAAATGTTGTTGCGCGTCGCGGTTCAGGAAAATTGTGCCATCGTTTGAGTGTCGTATGCCGTGTGCGTGTTCGTGTGCGTTTGCGTGTGTATGTGTTTAGTTTACATTTACCCTGCTCGATCGGACGCAATTTAAGTTAATTAAAAACGTTGGCTAATTCTCGATTTTGACGCCTCCGCAATGAGTAACTACCATCCGCACTCGTTGTCGCATCCGCACCAGCTTCAGCTCCAGAGCCATCATTTGACGCAGCCCCAACCCCAGCCCCAGCCCCAGCCCCAGCCCCAGCACCAACAGCAGCAGCGTCATCATAATCAGACGCCCACAACCACCCAGCTACTGGGGGATCGATCGGCCTCCTCCTCATCGTCCTCCTCAATGCTGGTAGCTCCCCAGCCCCCGCAGCCGCTGATAAGCAACTCCTTAGCCATACGCCAGGAGATCCAGCGCTTCGAGAGTGTCCACCCATCCATCTATGCCATATACGATCTGATCGATTTGCTGCCCCTATCCGATGCCCAGATAGCCCAATCCATTCGGGACCATGTGGTCTGCATTGAAGGTGAGTCCAAGTCCCACCACTGAATTGAATTTTCCTGCATTTCGCGCATAAAGTGCGCATAATGTGGGTATGGGTCAAGACCCTTCCTGGGATAGATTCCTTTAGAGTAGATGGAAGTCTCTTGATTAAACATGTTCCACACCTCTTCTGGCTGCCTCCATTGTTATTTGTTATTTGTTATGGACTGGACTTGTGGTTGCCTTTGTTTGGAGTGCTTTATGCTAATCTCTGACCGAAAATCTATGAAGCAACCAGTGCCAACCCCCTTCTGATTGTTGCCAAAATGTCCATTGAAGCGGGAACAGCGGAGCAGACGGACGGGAATATAAGAGGGCCATTGAAAGTGTTGTCGTTGTCGTTTCCAAAAAGAAAGAGCTTCGCTTTTTGTTTAAAACAAGCTTTTCTGCCCAATTTCCAATGTGTCTCTGTGTCTGTGTCTGTGTGTGTGTCGTGTTCCGTGCCCCTGCCACAGTCACAGCTTCAGCTTCAGATTCAGAGCTGCCTCAATGTGCGGGGCATGAAATTTGATGCTCAATGCTACCTTCTTCTTCTTCGTCTTCCTCCTCTCTCAGCAGCAGCAGCAGCAGCAGCAGCAACATCCAAAAACCGAATCCGAATCCGCTCACAAACGAAAACCGAAAACCAAAAACCGGTTCTAAAATGGTTTATTAGAAAATCTCTCGCGGCTCCCCGAAAATGTAAACAAAATCGTCAGAGGCCGTCTCCTGCCTCCTGCCCTTGTTTTTGTTTTTGTTGCTGTTGTTGACTGTAGAACATGGCTTTTCTGTCCGCGCTCTTATCGTGCAAACCAGATACATATGTACATTGCATACATACATGTGCACATACATAAATATGTATGTGGGAAACACGAGAGGAGACAAATCCAATAGACAGTTTTGCACGCGACTTTCTTATTGTCGATTCTAATTCGTTTGTCGTTGCGGGAATCGGGAATCGGGAATGATGAATGATGCCTTCGATACCCGCGATACCCTCGATACTCTCGGGCATTTGCACAGGGGTATGCTTCGTCCGTTTATCGATGGGTGACGGACAAGCGATATTTTATCTAAATCGGATACGAATGAAATGTTTCAATATACATATCTACATCTACATACATATGTATACCATATGTATGTTGTGAGCTGAGGCATGGGCATCTAACAGTCGTTACGATTATCGCATGGCCTTTCTACGTTTTGGCCTGTTTTGTGGCCTGAAAGCAAAACCTACTATTGACATTTTCCGTTCGAAATGCTTGTTTATTTATAGGCTCCAACAATAACGGGAGAAGGTCGAAAGCACTTAAGTAAAAGCTGAACAAAACTCGAAGAGGAACTTCTTTTGTTTGGTGGAATTCGTTTCGGAATGGAATCAATGGCTGTTGTCCGTGGGGCTCCATGTGTCACACCGATTTGCATATTAGCAAAGCTTTAATAAACCATAAAAAGACCAAGTTCTAAACTCCCAATCGCTTACACGATATCAGCACATCAATACCTAATACCCAATACCTACTAGTTCTATGGACAGAAATAACTTGCGTATCTCCGGGTATGGATGTACTCGTACCCACCTATGCACACACATATATTTATTTGTTTTGTTTGTTTATTTTGTTGTGAATAAAAAAAGTAACAGTCGGGGGCCCCAGATATAGATACAGATACAACACAAGAATCAACTAAAGCGCCGCTGGCGGTAGTCAAAAAACAAATTTCCTCTCTTATCTCAAATGGCCCGCAACGGTGTCCGGCCTCCCGGCCTCCCGGCTTTCCCATTAAAGCGATTGCAATTAGCGCCCCATCGACTATTTGCTGGGATTACAATACCAGCACAAGTACCCTTTGACCACAATGGGTATATTAACTATTAATAAGAGCTATGTTACAGTCAAGAATGGTTCTCAATTAAATAAATAATTATAAATAGTAAGCAGTAGTAATAGTACAAGTTTCTCATAAGTGAACGGACACACCCCAGTGGAACCATAATCGAATAAATGTGTTTCTAATGGAACAATATCGATATTTGATAACTTCGAATCACAGCAATATCGTACTTCTTGCGCTACTTTTTCCTGTTAGGCTTTGATAAGCAGTCTAACAGAACAACAAAACCACTTGTCAGCGAAGCTAAAGCCGAACATCAGTAAGCTTAATCATGCACACGACATGCAAATATGTTGTTGTGGATCGCTCGGCGTTCTCGGGCATTCTCTTCGGCATTTTTCGAATGGATCTGTGACAAAAATCGAAGTGTAAATATACTCGTATATGTACATACATATTAGATGTAAAATGGAATCAACCTCAAAAGTGTACTTCAAATTGAGAATAATTCCAGTCCCATTGAGACCTTCTTCACAATCACCAACGGCGGCGTGTGCCTGTCGTTTCTATAAGGCCTAAGGTTCCAGCAGTTGAGATTCCCTTGCTCTTTTCTGGTTGATTACATGGAATTGATGTCGTATATCAATCAAAGTTAATCAAATTGATACATTTTCTGTGTTTCTTATCAATACATTCGTTCGTTCGCTATCTTGTGCCGAAAGTTCTTTCTTGAGGCTGTCGTTTTGCTTCTTTGTGGCCTCTCTTCATAATTGCATATTTTATTTAGGGCTGTTATCTTTAAAATAACTGCAAAAGTATTTAAAAAGAATGCGGCAGCCTCCGCCTCCGCCGCTGCCTCCGCCTCAGACCATCGTCGCGGGAAGTTCCGATGATACGTATCTCCGTCAAGTGCCGGGCAGGCCCCTCTTATCGGTCCGCGGACTCGCTCTCGGAACTGCTGTTTATTTATTCTTAATTGTACAATAATATTGACATGCGGATTGTCAAAAGAATTATGGTCCGCCGCCACTGCCATTCTGTCTGTGTCATTCGGAAGTGGAACAATCGCTGTTGTGCGTCGATACGCTCGATAGCGTGACACGGACGGAGATGCCATTGAGATTGGGGGGAAAAAATATCAACGACTGCTGTGCCGCTATAGCCCCTATCCCCTATCTCCAATCCCCCATCCCCACTCCCACTCTGCCACTCTCCCATCCGCGAGTCTCGTTTATTTTTAACACAAATTGCATTTAAAATAGTATCGTGCACTTTGCTGGCATTTGCTATTTTTGTCGCTCGGAATTGCACAACAATTTGTTGCGATTTTCAATAAAAAGCTGAACAAAAGAAATGCAAATTCGAGAAAGAATTTTGCGGCGAGGCAATTAAGTCTCATAATGTGCCCGAATTTGGTGCTCTGCTCGCCTGCCCGCCGGCGAATGATTCACGAAATCGTGAATGGAGAAATTTATCATTCCGTTTGAGGGTTCTGGTTCTGCCTCCCTCCTGCAATGCTCGTGCACTGTATTATTCGAGTATATTGCGTTTCGAAACTGTTCAATGATTTAACATTATAAGTTAATTAAAGCCGATTTCTATACTGCGCAAAAGCTGTAAATATGTCAGGCTATATTGTTATTGAACGCACTGTACCTACAGAAACCGCAACCTAAAGAAGTGTTGAATGACAGCGGAGAACGGTTAAAGTGTGAAGTTTACGCTCTCTAATTGAAAATTCCACTTTCGAGATCGCATCATCCCAAAGATGGGATAATGGGACGAGATTATCGCGGCAAACGAGAGATATTCCAATCGAGTGTCGCAGATTTTGGGTTTATTGATGGTTCAGTTATGTGTTCAGTTATGTTTAGTGTCACTCGATAGCCCCTCGATGTGGTTCTCCACGACCCTGCCACTGAGCTTGGCCATTTTCCAGAAATATGCCGCCACATCGGAGACGAAACTCTTTGAGATCTCCTGCAGTTTCCCGTCCGTGAGCAGGGCCTTGTACTCGTCATCGCTGAGGCCCGTTTCGGACTGTCGGTTCAGCAGCAATGGGGATTTCCTGAACTAAATTGGAGGGAAGTCCGTGAGAGGTCTTAGTCCCGCGAGAGCCCACACTTACCTCCTCGAAGATATCGAGCCATATTTGATCCTTCTTGTCCAGATCGTTCTCCGCAATGGCCTCGTTCACGCGCGACACGTAACGATCTATGTCACCGGCCCTCTTCGACTGGGGACTCAGCTTGGCCTTCACCTCCGTGAAGTATGCGATCTGTGCTCGGAACAGGGCGTTCAGCAGAAGGACTGTCTCCTGGCGGGCCTCCTGTTCCAGTTGCCTTTGCACCGGATCGTGCGACCCGTTGCCAGATGGATCGCGAGATGTGGGTGCCGCCAGCACGAGCTGCCAGAAAGATTGATAGGTCGGTGATGGGCGGGGGACTATCGCCTGCACTCACCTGAGCCAGCAGCAGCATGGGGATATATTTGAGCAGCATTCTCCAGTGTTGGGTCTAGACTCTAGATGCAGCTGCGTCCTCAGTCTTTGGATGTCGATTACGAACTGAGTATCGGACAAAATATATGTACACATGTACTATACATATATTCAAGTGGAAACGATGGGCTGTTCGATTTGCCTAGGAAGCTGCTGATAAGCCCCCGAAGGCTTTGCAGCTTTAGAATACAATTTAGTTCTCTCCCAGCGAGGGTTCCGTGGATGGTGATAATTATTTTCAATGAATTTTCAGAATTCTGTATTATTGCGTCGTACATATGTGCGCGGATTTTCGGCACGTTTCCAGAGAGTGAGAGTAATGCTAAGTACATACAGTACATACATACGTACTAACATACAGTATATTACAGATTGGTCTAGGCTCTGGGTCTTCAAGGCCGCCTCCTACTGGTGCCAGAATAGAGCTTTCGAACAGTAATGGTCATAGTGTATCATCTGATTGGCTCTACAGTGGAAAAAACATTCGCTGTACTAATTTCCCATAAGAAGTAGAAAATGTTCAACAGAAGTGTGTACCTGCCACCAGCGTAGTAATGCGTTTTTTAAATAAAAAGGTACATTCATCCGCGTGTCAACTTCTTTTGCAGAATGACAGCCTACAGTCAAATCTGGTAATACCCTGATCAAGATTTCGACCAACTTAGGGAAACCGAATGATCTAAGGCTCTAATGAAACCGCAATGATCTAATGATAAATGTGCAAGTGATAGTCGTTTTCAACATCGTATTCTGATTAGAAAAATGATCAGATAGAGCAAATCATTTTTCGGGAAACTATTCGTTGATATGTACTTCTAGTAGCATACTTTTAGGGGCCCACTGCCAACTGAATCGCGTATATTTTATTTGTAGCATACTTTTGGGCAGCCACAAACAACTGATTGTAGAATGTATGTAGAATTGTCATTGGGCGTATAATATCATAACAATATATGTACATATATACATATTAAACGACCCACATGGAAATACTGTAGTTTGAAAAAAAAATTGTAAATAATTAATTAGCTTTGGTTCGATTGTTTAAGAATTATCCACAAAAAAGGTCCACTATTTCATTGCGGCACCGGAGACATGTATGTAGTTCTGCTGTAGATATCATGTTGCACTATCACAATTACTTGTAATTTTACATTTTCATGTTGTTTGTCTTTTGTCCGGCATACATTACAGACGTAAGTATCATTAGAAAATCGCCAGAACCAAAGCCAATCAATTGGCAATCAATCATGTAGATCATACAAGTAGACGGCCCAGGAGCTCCCCGCTCTGATTCCCCGGGAGGGCTACACCGCAGGGCCATGCTGTGCACCAGAGTATTGTACTGCCCCTGGCTCTGGCCTCGGACACGTGCTGCTGAGGGACTGCTCTACAGTCGTACCCTTCTCGGACGACTATTGCTGGAATAATCAAGCTTTGCAAAGGAAATGCGATTATGAGCCTAATCTGAGCGATTAGATTAAGCAAATTAATGGCTGGCTCCTCTGTTTGGCAGCTGCTGGTGGGCTTCCAAACAACACAACGGGTTTATGGCAGCCTTCTGCAGAGCCGAACGATTATAGACTATATTTAAAGTGAGGAATTTGGATCGGTTTTATTGGTTCTTAGTCGTGCATTATTTTTTTGCGCCGGTAATAATGGCAATGAGATCGCTCAGGGATCGATCGCCGATGAGGTCGTTGCAGAGGGGGGTCACCATTTCGTTGAGCCAATTGGCCACGAAGTCGGTGTTTTCGTTGACCGTCAGCGTGATGAACTCCTCGACGACCTCGTTTAGCTTGCGGTTGAAGATGCGATACTGGGAGAGGTTCTCGATCTCCGACGCCACATTGCCCACCGAGGGGTAGACGAGGATGCTCTTGACCTTCATTTGCTTCGAGATGACGCCCAGCGAGTAGCTGATCCGTCCCTTGAGGTTGAAGTCCTCCAGGGCCATGTAGGCGCCTCCTTCGCGCTTCATCCGATACCCACTGCCCACATCGGCCTGGTACAGGGTCGTGAAGTTGATGCTCCCGAAGTTCAGCTCGAAGTCGACGCGACTCCGGATCAGGTCGACGTTCATGATGATCACCTCGAAGCCGTTTAGGCCCTCCAGCACGAAGTCGTTGATTTCTCCGTTGGCGCTGAACTCTCCGGTGCTGAATTGGAAGGGCTGGTGCTTGATCTCAGCGGGAGCCAGCTTCGGCATGGGTCCATAGCCCGTCTCCAGAAGATCTCTAAACACCTCCAGTAGCTCCACGATCTCGCTGCTCACGGAGCGACCCTCAACTAGGGGAAATTCGTGTTTAGTTAGCCTCTCGGCACAGCCAGTCGTACATTGGGGTCTTACCAGCCACCGGTTCGGCCACTTCGGCGCCTTGGTAGTGGCCCAGGGACAGGGCCAGGAGAACGGCAATCAAAGCACAGGACTTCATCTTTAATCAGGCACAAGACACGACTTTACTGCTTCAGTGACTAAAACACCACTAGTCAAGGCCCAGCGCAGTCCCTGTCTCTTATATAGGCCCCTCATCGGCCAGATAAACTATCTCTAAACATATGTAGTAGCACTCGCTAATCGGCAAATAATTTGGCAAAGTGCTTTATAGCCACCCAACCCGCCCGATAAGGAAAGCTTTAGATTAGTGCTGAAAATCTATCAAATGCGAATGTATCTACATCTCAATGGATGATGAAGAGGGAAAAGAGACAGGAAACCAGGAAAAATAAGAACCATCGTGAATCATTATTAGCTCATTTTAAACAGTGCGTGGATTTATTCACCAATCGAGCTCTGGGGGAATGCAGACCTCCTTCTCGCCACCCTCACCACCGGATCCAGCGATGACATCGGCCACGCTGATCTCGTCGAGCACGTTGTTGACCACGGGCAGGGCGATCGCCTCGATGGTGTCGGTGATCAGGTCCTCGTTCTCGTTGACCGCCATCTCGACGGCCTCGGCGAGGTACAGGTTCATCTTCTCGTTGACCGCGCCATCTCCCAAGATACCCTCAATCTCGGAGTCGACCTCGCCCAGGTGGGTGCGCACCTCCAGGGACTTGAGCTTCAGCTTGCCGGAGAGGACGCCCAGGGAGTACTTGAGGGTGCCCCAGATGACCATGTCCTTAATGGCGAACTTGGCGTGTCCAGCGCCGATCAAATTGATGGTGAAGCCGAACTTCTTCAGCAGCACAGTCAGGTCGTAGCTGGTGTCCACGTTCACGTTGCGGAAGGTGAACTTGTAGGTGACCTTGCTGGTCAGGGCATTGACCTTCATCTCGTCGATCTCGAAGTCGTCCATGCCATTCAGGCGGAAGTGGTCGATGGTGCCCTTGGCCTTCAAGGCGCTCGTGTCGATGTCGATGTTCTTGTGGTCGATTCTGAGGGGGGCGAGTGGGGGAATGCCCAGGCCGGCAAAGCCGCAGGGCATCTGCTCCTGAATGCCATGGATCAGATCCTCAATGGTGCTGGAGATTGACTGGGAATCTGATAAATCGTTACATTTTAGAGATTATAGAGACAGAGACAGTAACAGAGAGAGGCTAGACTCTTTACTCACCGATCGGCTGGCCCACGGACGCCGCGCTGGCGAAGGCAACGAATGCCAAGAGAGCCACGAAGATTTTCATTATTGCTGCTGACTTTTGAGTCCTACAAACTGATCGCAGTACGAACCGTATTTATACTACTCAATCGTTCGGACGGGCCGGCAGCTTTTTATAGAAACACGCCCAGGTGGTGGCCGATAAGGCCCTGCCTCTCGGCCTCTCTGCTGGTCTTGAGTACGATTTGATTAGCGACACTCGATCGATGCCCATTTGCTGTCTTATCTGGCTCTGGGACTGCTTCTGGGCTTCTGGGCTTCTGGCTCCCCGATCCGTTGGCCAATTTTTAATTTCGATGATTAGTTATATAAATCAGGCCACTTAGCCCGAGGAAATAACGATCAGATCTCCAGAAGGTATAAAACTCTCTAATGAAACTTTTCCTTTTTTCAAGAGAGAGAGAGAGCGACAAAGACAGAGTGAGTATTCAAAGGTTCATTAGGAGGAGGATTAGGATTTCCATTCCCTGCCCATGGGTTGCCCCTTCCATTTCTTCAACTGATTGATTCATAACGATTCATTCTCTGTAAAGTTCCGATGTCTATTACCAGGCAGTCCTATATCAGTTAGCAATTTCAGCAGAGGTTGGGGTGACTCCGCCACCTGTTCCACCAGGCCACATTAAATAATGCGAAATATGTAGTTTCGCATAAACGAATAGACGTAGAACAGACCCCATTCTGCATGAGTGATTCGGATTAATATATATCGGATAATATATGGAGAACGGAAATGTTGGATTTTAGACTGATTGGAAACTGAAAAATCAGCTGGGAGAATCTGCGTGAATGGGAGTCTGGTGGAATGGCGGGATCGATCGCACGGACCGATCTTCATGGCGGTTTTATTTACGGAATCGAGCACAAAGAATGCCAGTGGCTCGGACTAAAATAGTCCGTGCACTTCTCTGGATCTAAAGTCTGCGAGTTGTTTGTCGCTTGATTAATAATCATAAAATGTTCGAGTGTGATTAAAAGCCGATGGACTTGATTGATTTATTTAAAGGATTTAGCCTGGGAGGCTATTATTAGCGGCCATATAATAAGGTTTAGGCTTATACCAACACCTGCGCCCTGAAGCTCTTTCTCCCTGTAATACCCCAGATAGACATTGTCCTATCAGGTCTTTACAGCACCACGTACGGGAACAGACCAATAAGCTGCGGAGTCTAGAGACCCGCAACGCCTCTGTGCGCACACGGAATGTACCCCCAATCGAGCGAGGAAGGAGGACTGATTAGATCGGCGGGTAATCCGGTGGACACCTGCATGGAGTCGTCGTCTGACGCAGTTTTCGGTAGCCAAAGCCAAAGCCAACGGCCGAAGCCATTTGTCTATGTCGCAATGATAGGCCATATATACTCGTATTTTGATGCGATATTGACACTCGATTGGCCAATTGGGAGAGATTGGGCCAAAACAAGCCACTTGTGTGGTTCGGCACGGCACGGTGTGGTGGGGCGGGTACCCTCCGAGCAATGATTGAATTCCTGCCCTCCAAATCGGGAGCGTATCGTCAAATCCGATCTGCTCCGGCAATACGCGGCTAATCAGGCGTCGTGATTACCATTTAGCTGTTAAACTTAAGTAGTCGATCCGCCGTCTGGGCCCCCGTCCCACCGGCAAACTTCTCCGGCTTCTCCGACTTTTCCGGGGGTGTCCGAGGCGCCTGGGTATAAAAGGCAGCCCCACCTGTTGGCATTCAACAGCTGGCTATACCATGAAAGCTTTCGCCTATGTTTTTGTGGCCCTTTTGGCCTGCGTCGCGGCCTACGAAGTGGAGCTCTTGAGCGAGCAGGAATGGGACCGTCTGGTCGAGCGCAATCGTAAGTGTCCTCCTAGAATCTGAAGTGACCTATATTTACTCTCTTGGGACTCGCACGGCCGCAGCTGCGCAGCCCGACACCCAGGGCCTGATTCTGAACGGATCGGTCAAGAAGGCCATCAAGGGGCTGCTCAACCAGATGCCCTGCGGCTGGCCCGAGTACGGTATCCCCCCACTGGCCCCCTACACCAATGCCAATCTGGAGATCCATCTGGCCGAGTCCGTTGTTGAGTAAGTCACCGTCTGGAACGCGGATGCGGATTCGGATTCGGAAACGGAAACTAACTACATCTTGAACTCTAGCACGCTGCTGCAGTTCCTGCGCTTCCGCTTCGATGGCTTGGACGACATGGAGATCAAGAAGCTGAAGGTCAGCTACACCTTCAGCAAGAAGGTGCAGTTTCACTTCAACTTCAAGCAGCTGAAGGCCAGCGCCCACTTCCTGAACACCGACACCTTCGTGGACATGCTCCGGCAGCTGGGTCTAAGCGTGCGCTACGAGAGCACCGGCCCCATGTCCTTCGCGCTGGAGAACCTGTCCATCCAGGGCCAGTTCAAGTACAAGATGCCCTTCCTGTTCGGCTCCATCAAGATCTCCAAGTTCCAGTGCACCGTCGGACTGGGCGGCGTGTCTTCCAACATCGGCGGCGTCATGGGCAACGGCAGGATCAACGAGTTCATCAACGACATGATCGACTACGAGGTGCCCGCGTTCATCAACGGCCAGCAGGAGGCCATCAGCAAGCAGATCGAGGAGGTCTTTGTGCCCATTATTAACCAGAAGCTGAAGGGCCACAAGATCTGGTATCTGCTCTCGATGCTGTCCATGGTCTCCGGCAGCTGCAGCCCCACTCCGGCCCCCTGGCTGGCCGTGGAGTCGAGGCGGACAGTCTGAAGAGCAAGCACCAGCAAATAAAAAGCAATTCAACCTCCTACACGACCACGATCTACGTTTTAATTAGCGCATTTCTCCGCCCCATTATCTCCCCGGCCATCCAGTGCCTCCCCGTTATCCTCTTATCGCCCCGGATTTCGATTATTGATTGGATCGGGTATAAAAGACCCTCGCCGGCGGCTAGGCGTTTCAGTAAGCATTTACTAACAGCCACACAGCCACATAGCCACAATCAACATGCGTTTCCTGGTAGTCTTGGCCTGCCTGGTGGCAGTCTGTGCCGCCGGCACCCTGCCCAATCGGGTAGAGCAGCGTCTGCTCGAGTTGGCCGACCAGAATGGCGACATCGATCTCTTCGCCGAGCCCGAGCAGGGTGTGGAAGGTAAGACTCCTCCCGACCCCCCATCCGACACCTTGGACAGTTGAATAAATGTGGAAATCGCCATTTATGCCCGCAGTTGCCCCCCAATTCATTCTGTCGTGGCAAGCACGCCGCTTCATCCGCAAGCTGCAGAAGCAGATGGAATGCGGATGGCCGCAGTACGGCATCCCCGTGCTGGCCCCTCTCCGCGTCAACGAGTTCGACCTGGACTTCAAGCGCGGCATCTTCGAGACCCTCAACAATGTGTTCCACCTGAAGATCGCCGGCCTGGACGACTTCAAGATCACCAAGTTCAAGCTGAACATCATTACCAGCAAGGTGACCTTCGACTTTCTGTTCAAGAACATCGACACCACCGCCGAGAGGTACAGCACTGACACCCTGATCGACGCCCTGCGCCAGCTGGGCCTGTCCGTCGAGTACGAGGGCACCGGGGACCTGCTCTTCGACCTGAACAACCTCCGCATTGCCGGCACCCTCAAGTACAAGCTGCCCATGTTGTGGGGCTCCGCCAAGATCACCTCGCTGAAGACCACCATCTCGCTGGAGTCCGTCGAGTCGGACATCAGCGGCTTCATGGGCCACGGCAAGATCAACCGCGCCATCAACAGGCAGCTGGAGAATGTGGTGGTCAAGGCCATCAACGACAACCAGCAGGCCATCTCCGACACTATCGAGGACACCATCGTGCCACCCGTGAACAAGATGCTCAAGGGCAAGGACTTCTGGACTCTTGTGGACCTGATCCTCTCCAGCAGCGATGACGAGAAGGAGGACGATCCAATTGTCGTCGACTGTGACCCTCAAGCCGATCCCTGGGCCTAAGCTCATCATCCTAGCGCTTTCAATAAAAACTTTGTCGAGATAATGAATTCCTAATGTGCGAATATGTACAAACAAAATGCATGTCCTGTGCATGACAAGGGATAATGATGATCTACTCGAGACTGGGGTCGAGGCTCGGTCTCACGAATGAAAAAACAAAATAAACAGCAAACCTGTCGTGTGCATGACGAGGGACATTGAGGGTCGTCCCGAGACGCACGACAAAAACACTTTGTTCACGTCGTGTGCATGACGCGCCATTTTGATGCTAGATTCGACTCTCGCCGATAAGGGTTGGTTTTTCTCTGTTGTTGTATGCCCTAAGTCCCGGCATCTTGAGGAACGATCGGATGTTTTATTCGAATGTGTGTGCAGGGTGTCCGAGGATCGCATGGACTGGACGTCTGACTTTTCGCTATCTTTGAAGGGAACACCTGAAGCTAATCCAATCTTATCGATGCCCCAGCGCTACTTAAGTGGCTAATCGTTTTGGCTGATTGCAGGGGCGTTGGTTGGGTCTAGCTTCTGGCTGATTTGGGATTTTGGGCTGATTTTCAGCAGTTCAGTACTCGCTTTCACCATGACAAGTTACTGTGTGATATTTGTGGCTCTGCTCTGCTGCTCCTTGGGCTCCTCGAAGCTCTTCGATGATCAGCTCCGTGAGCTGACGGAGTTCCTGCGCCTGCAGATGCGTTGCGGCTATCCGCCACGGGGTGTGCCGGTGCTGGCCCCCGCCCAGATAGCCTACCAGCAGGTGGCTCTTGCCACCGAGAGCCTCGGGTAAGAGTCGGCATGGGTGAATGGACATGGCGAATATATAACCAGATAACACTTTGCTGTGCAGGTGCCGGGGAAACTTCACGGAACTAACGCTGGAGGGTCTGGACGGCTACGAGTTCGCGAAGCTCGAGTGGAACAACATTCTGCACACAATCAAGTTCGACATCAACTTCCCGCGGGTGTCCGTGAGGAGCTCCAAGTACATGCTCGACATTCTGGCCCGGCTCTTCGGCTCCGACTTCGCCCTGTGGGGCGACGGTGTCTTTAGCCTGGAGCTGATCGACTTCCGGGCCCATGGCAGCTTCGTCATCCGCCCCACGACAGCCAGCAGCGGAGTGTACGTGAAGAGCTGGCAGGTCAACTGGCAGCTGGGCGAGGCCCGGTCCCAGACGACGGGCATCATGAACAGTCGCCTCTATACGAAGTTCGTCAACGATCTGGTCAAGGACTACTTGGAGCTCCTGGTCAACGACAATCCCGCAGAGGTCTCCCAGTTCATGGAGGGTCTCATTGTGCCGCCCCTGAATGCGGTGCTGGAGAATGTGGCCTGGTACGAGATAACCGCCATCATTCTGGGCCTGGTCGATGGTGTACTGCCGGTGGAGCCGATTTGCTGATTGCTGATTGGCTGGCTCATCAGATCAGCTGCTTTGAAAAGTGCTGAAAAGTGAATAAAAATGTCTTGAAATCGAACTGATCTCTGGCTTTTCTGTGTGGTTTTCTCTCTCACAGAGTAGCTTTGCAGCAAAGGGTGAGTTTTCATGCCTGGCATGGGCTCAATGACCGCTCTCTCTCTCTCTCTCTCTCTCTCTACCGCTGGCTCTATCACAGTGGTTCCCTAATCAAATGATTCCGTCTCTCTCTCACAGAGTAGCTTTGCAGTAAAGTTCTATCTTTCTCTTTATCGGTAGCTTTCTCCTAGTGAGACTCGTTGTATAATTCTGGGACCTTCCACGTTTGACTGTGGCACAGAACAGAGGATATTTAAGCTAGATCTAAGTTTAATTTTTGGATTACTTGTGGGTGCTTTGCAATATTTTTGGCTCTTCCGACATGAGAACACCCAATATTCGGTTCCATCTTCAGTAGATCGTCTTCAGTCTAAATGGTGCTTTCGGACTCAAATTCGAAGGCCATCTTCCTGGTTTTTTGCGGGCCACTGATTAAGGTGTTAGACTGACTACAGTTTAGAAGAATCAAGTAGATCAAATCTGTAGGACATTCCCAATTCTTGGCTTACTTGATCTGCCGTGAAATCTGTTTTCATGCGGACGTGTGTCTGTTACTGACGCAAAAAGAGATCAAAACAATCCTCGAAGCGGATTGCACATGGAATTACTCTTTGAGCTCAATCGGTGCAGAACTTTTTGGCGTTTTAGAAGGATACAAAAACCAGCACCGGCAACATTTTCATATAAGCTTATACGAAATCTTCCCTAATGAATTCCTTTTCCATCTCTTTGCAGGTAAGCTCGACTAGATTTCCGCATTATTGTGAGTGAGTATATAATGAAATTCCATCGGGGCTCTAATCGTTTTTGGCCATAAATTAAGGCTGATATTTGTGGACAGAGAGCGAGTGGAAGAGAGAGAGGGAGAAAGAAGCAAAGTCCATAATCGGATTTGGGAAACGCCAGCAGGACATCTCAATACCCGACCTCGAGCCACGACCCGAAGCACGAGCCTCGTGAACAGCAGGAGGTCAACGGGTGGTCCCATGACCCGTGGTCCCGTCCGTTGCGACGGTCCAACACTTTCGAGCCTCAGGATTTGCGAGTGGCAGATGGTTTTTCCACACTCTTTCATTCGGTTTCCCTTTTTATACCCGATACTCAAAATGAGTATTGGGGTATATTAGATTTGTGGTAAAAGTGGATGTGTGTAACGTCCAGAAGGAATCGTTTCCGACCCCATAAAGTATATATATTCTTGATCAGCATCAATAGCCGAGTCGATTGAGCCATGTCTGTCTGTCCGTCTGTCCGTCTGTCCGTCTGTCCGTCCGTCCGTCTGTCCGTCTGTCCGTCTGTCCGTCCCCTTCAGCGCCTAATGCTCAAAGACTATAAGAGCTAGAGCAACGATGTTTTGGATCCAGACTTCTGTGATATGTCACTGCTACAAAAATATTTCAAAACTTTGCCCCGCCCACTTCCGCCCCCACAAAGGGCGAAAATCTGTGGCATCCACAATTTTAAAGATACGAGAAAACCAAAAACGCAGAATCGTAGAGAATGACCATATCTTTTAGACTGCAGAATCTGAATGGGATCGTATTATTATTATAGCCAGCATCACGAAAACAATTTAATTTTTTCTCGCCCTGTCTCTCTCTAACACACAGGTAGCATAGGCGGCTTTGCTTAGAGTAAAACATTAGCGCCTAGATCTCAGAGACTATAAAAGCTAGAGCAACCAAATTTGGTATCCACACTCCTAATATATCAGACCGAGACGAGTTTGTTTCAAAATTTCGCCACACCCCCTTCCGCCCCCGCAAAGGATGCAAATCTGGGGATATTCACAAATCTCAAAGACTATTAACGCTAGAGTAACCAAATTTGGAATCCGCACTTCTCTTAGATCTCACTATAAAACGTGTATCTCAAAATTTCGCCCCACCCCCTTCCGCCCACACAAAGGACGAAAATCTGTTGCATCCACAATATTGCAGATTCGAGAAAACTAAAAACGGGGAATCATAGATAACGACCATATCTATCAGATTGCTGAATCTGGATCAGATCAGATAATTTTTGTAGCCAAAAGGAACAAATCAATTTGCAGTGGCTACGCAGCGCGTGACATCACGCTCAGACTGATTTTCTGTCTCTCTCGCACGCACTCTTTGTCGTGTCGTTTAATATTAGCGGCGTCTGCCGGAGGAAAGCCATACTGACTTAGTATCGGGTATAACTCTAGAGTTGCGGTGTCCGCAGCAACTCAGAAACGTTCCCCCTCGTTTTAGATGCTCTTGTGTCTGATGTCATCATTTGTTGTTAATTAGTGCAAAATACTCTAGGAGAAAGAATCTCTGATCTCTCTGCCACCCCCTC